TAGACAAGTTTATTATATTCGTTATCCAACCATTCGAAGGGACAAGGCCCATTAGTGGGCAGTTATGAAAATAAAACCAACCGGGCGAATAGAAATTGAGAATGTAAGTACTATAGAAGTTTATCAAGAAGGGTCTATGTCTCATGTAATGCCTGAAAGTGATGTCGATCCATTAGATAGATTGCGTCATGAAGGATGATTATACGACGAGATTGATCCAGGACAGTTGAATCAAGAACGACTGACAGAAGATGATCAATACGAAAATGAAGATGAGGAGGAAGAATTTATTGAATACGATGACGACACTGAACCATCGGGAGATTATGAGGAAAAAAATGAGGAGGATGAAGAGGTGGAGAATGAGGATGATCAAAGTTGTTCAAATTGAATTGTTGCATTTTTGTTTTGTATGTTTGCGATAATGAATTTTCTACTATATTTTTTAGTAATTAATATGTTTTATTTCAATGTATAATAATTTGTTTCTTTTTCTTAATTTTGGAAACTATAGAGGTTATTAAAAAACAAATTACATATCTATTTAAAAAAAAATTATATATTAATTTAAAATAAGTTAAGTAATAATTCATTCTATCTTATGTACTTTTAAGAAAAAATTATATATATATACATGGATTCTAAGCGTAGACCCGATAAAGGTAAGAGGATAGATACTGGTCGCTCGAAGAAGTAGCGCGATCCTCCTGTACACGACCCATCAGGCCCCTTGCCGCCAGTTATTATCAGGGAGCCCTACGATCCCCACATCCTACCCGTGCCTATTATGATTACGGGGCTCCACATTCTCAGTACGTGTCGCGATCTCCTTAGTTCATACCTACTCCGAATGCGTGCCTATTCCCTATACTACTGGGGACCTGCTTCACCAGCGTCTGCTTGCGGTGCGGCTACCTCTACTGATAAAATTGATCCTTTAGTCCCCATACCAGATTCTTTTCCATCCGACCCTGCTTGAGTTGGATCATTTGGCACATGTTGTAGCAGTTTTGGAAAGACGCTGATCAAACTCGTTGGTGACGTCGGGAAGTATTATTCAAATTATTTTAATAAATATTTCTTAATGCATCAAATATTAGTATTAAATTTATAATTTTTTGCTGTTGCAGATTTCATCCTTCGACGGCTGCTGCTTATGCCATCATAGCGGTCATTTGGTCAAATTTTACATCGTGTTATCCACATGGAGGACAGTTTCTAGTGATTGTGGTTTGATGAGTTCCGAGTTCGTATTTCAATGCAATCATGGTTAAATATTTTTATCTTAATATTAATTGATATTTTATTAACTTTTTATTTATGTCTTCATGCAGAAATATTGTACATGGATCCACGAGACGAGCCAGCCATTAGACGGATATTTAGTACTCGTGGATCTCATAGCTTTCCGATATGCTGAGAGATGCCGGATTAGAGGCAGACCAGACTGGATCCCGTCTTCTGTGTGGGAAGAGCTTCAGACTTATTGGAGAGGAGAGAGGTTTAGTAGGGTAAGCTCCTAGAATGAAGGGAATCGCTGTTCGGTAAAAGACAGTTCTCTCCACACAGGAGGCTCTATTTCGCAAGCACGGAGCATGCTATGAGGATGGTAAGTTTTATTCCTGTACATAAGTTTTATTATTATCTTATAGTTATAAATAATCACAAAATGTTTATTATGTATTATTGCAGGAAAAAGAGACGGGAGGACTCCCTATTTTTTTGAGATATTTAAGCATACGCATGTTAGGAAAAAGATGGTGGGGAGGTGTGGGTGGACTAGTGATCGGAGAAAATTTTTAAAATCTTTATTAAATTTTATGTAAGCATACTTATATTATTATTAACTTTTTATAATTATTATTTTTAATTATTAAACTTATTTTATGATATACTTTGTGTATGTAGACTGACTTTTAGGCTGCCCGATCCTTCTAGTCGACACCTGAGAAGACGTCTACTCCAGAGTCTCAGTGGATCGCAGACACTCAGCTGTAGGAGAAGTGCGCTGAGGGGAGAGCTTTTGGCCAGTGTATACGGTCTTGGACAGTAGGTTCTTCTCGTCAGTGCACTATCCTTCATCTGACAGTGCGGATTAGTCTGTGAGATTAGATGTACAGACACTCTCGTCAAGAGAATCAGGAGTTTCGACAGAAGGTGGGGAGCATGGGAGCTTACCTTCAAACCTGGTTAAGGTGGTTGAAGGGATGAGTAGCAACATCACCTAATCAGCCATTGCCTCCGGCGCCTACTCACGATTTCGACTCTTCTGCATCTCAGTCAGGCGGATGGCGGCTGTCGAGAGTGATCTTTTTTTAAGATTTTGTTTCATATATATGTTTAGTGATACACTTTTTTATGTTTGTAATAAGATATTTGAATATTATTTATGCACATGTTATTTCAGTTTTATGGTTTGTCTTAAATAAATTATCATTAAATATATATTTCAATATTTTTAAAATTATTATTAAAAATTAAATAATTAATAATAAAAAATAATTTAGTTATTAATAATATTAAAACAATTTAATATTTAACAATAATAAAAACAATTTAATATTTAATAATTAAGAAAAAAATTATTTTCCTTTCCAATTTCCGACGCAATATTTGCGTCGGTAATTTCTGTCACAATTTTTGACCTAGAATTTGTCAGAAATTTCCAACGCAAAATTTTTTGCGGTCAGTAAATTTTTTCGATGGCGATTTTTCTGACGAATGGTTTTGCATCGGTTTTGTGTCGATAACGCCATTACTGACGCAAAATTCTGATTACAACGCTTTTTTTGCGTCGGTAATTTACATATTTCTTGTAGTGAGTGAAACTCAATCTGAGAATGAGGCAATTCCTTGTATTTTGTGAGAGAAATATAAGTTGGAAATTGATTTGTGTTTCGTAAGCTCTAGTTCTGGTTTGAACATTGGGTTGATTGATAGGAGGATCAAAGGAGGATCCCCTTTTGGGTTGCAAACGAAGTCACAGGGAGAGCAACAAGGAAAAAGACATGCAAGTGAGATCTAGCGCACATGCTGCACATGTAGGGAAATTGGTGTATGAGAAGTCTAAGGTTCACGTGCGTGGAGGCACGTGGCCATAAATCCAAAATGCATAGAAGTGGGTTATAGCATGTGTGAGGCGTGTGTGCGTGCAATAGAAGGTCCAACACATAGGCCAGACTTCTAGAGGCATTTGAAGGCACATGCCAAGGTTAGAAAGAGTCTAAAACACGATATTTATGAGAACTGAAAAACAGAGATTGCTTACTATTTCAGAATAGGAAATAGTTCGATCTCGAGGTTAATAAGGAAGAAAATTTTTGTGCTTTGGCTCAACCTGGTGACAGTTCCTTTGTAACAGCCAAAAAAGGCCAGTATTTAATAACTCATTTGTGTTGTCAAAGGGGGATTTACTACTCAGTGACTGATTCTAAAGTCTCACACCCAATTTAGTGACCCATTTTGTGACCGACCAACCATCTTAGATGTAGTCACTGATAGTGACTCTTTAGTGAATAAAATACTGGCTGATGCTAATTTTGTGACCAATTTATGACTGCAATAATTAGGGTCACAAATCATTTACTCTCTCTCTCTCTCTCTCTATATATATATATATATATATTTAAAATGAGAGTAAAATCGGTCACTAATAAGTCACTTAGCGGTTAGTAATTAGTGACCCTAAGTAGTGTCCCATTTGAAGGGTCACTAATATGCGTTACTAATTCTTCTTTTTTTTTTGTAGTGAACCCACAAGTAAAACTCATAAGATTAACTTGTAAGCATTTTATTATTTGAATAGTTGAAGCAATTTTGTTCAAAAAAATTAAATTTAAAGTATGGTATAAAATTAATGAATTTAACTTATCCTTGACTCTTTTATCACATGTATCAAATATAAAATAAGATAATAAATTTTTATTTTATCAAAGGTGCCCAACATACTGTAAACCGTTTACGTACCTATATACAAGGAGAGCAAAAGCAAAAATGATATAAGAGATACAAAATTGTGTAGAAGTGTTAGTCTTCATGGCCCCCAAAACAACTATGAAACCAATAAATGCAATGGAAAGGATAATATACAAAAACGTGAACAGGACGTGGATATAAATAAACACCAACATCAACATTAGAAGGTTATGGAAATAGGTTCCGCGTGGTCTTCATGCGAATGCTGGCATTGGAAACACCAGCTATGCCAATAAGTTAACACCGCAGGTCTCTCTCTTCTCTCTCTCAAATAAATGTCTTTGTTTTCAGAATTTGATTTTTTAACCATTCTAACTTGAAGAGGTCCAAAACTATTGCATTATCCGGATGTCCTAAATATTTTCATTAACTTCCAAATAGTTTTTCTAGTTAAAATAAAAGCAAAAATTCTGTGACCCCAAGGAGAGAGTCCTCACTGAGTCTTAAAAAAGGGAATGTATGTGACATCCCCAATGAGGAGTGTGTGTTACACCATTAGGTAAATCCCACATCGACAAAACACAAGAGAGTTTCTGAGCTTATAGGAGACTAGAGATTACTACTGAACGACTTGAATTTAAACATTTTGGGCCAGCAGTTTAGGCTTAACAAGTTGCCAAGGCCAGTAGTACTCGAGTTATGACAAATGGTATTAGAGTCACTCTTCGTGCAACCTTAAACGGTGGTGGAGCAAATCTTAGTAAGGAAGAGGGTGTATGTGACACAATCAAGGGGAGTCATCGCTGAGTCCAAAAGATGGGGGGTGTATGTGACATCCCCAAGGGGGAGTGTGTGTAACACTCTTAGGTAAATCCCAAGTCGAAAAAATTGGGGGAGATCCTGGGCTTATAAGAGATAGAGGCTACTACTGAATAATTTAGATTTAAGCATTTTGGGCTAGTGGTTTAGGCTCAACAGGTTGTTAGGGTCAGTAGTACTCAGGGTTGTAAAAATTTTTTTTCTTTGATTATATTTTTAAATTATGTGGTCTACTTACATAAACTGAATGATGTTTGCTTTTCGAGAAATATAATGTTGATGGCATGGCCTATTCTAGAAGACACCCTAAGTAAGGCATATAATAAGTCTTTCTCTGAATACCCTAAGATAGCTAACTTGGGTTGTTCTTCGGGCCAAATACCTTCTTGGTCATCTCTAAAATTATCAATACCATTCAAAATTTGGCCTACAAGATCATTGCAAAGTGCCTGAATTCCAAATCCATCTAAATGATTTGCTGGAGAACGACTTCAACACTATTTTCAAATTGCTACTTGCATTCTATGAGATGATTAAGGAGGAGAAAGAAGAAAAATTAGGCCTAATTGCTTCATGGCAGGGTGCAAGGCCCTTTTTATGGCAAACTTTTTCCAAACAAAAGTCTAAATTTTATTATTTTTTGTTATAGTCTTTTCCATTTATCTCCAGTTTGTGTACTTTCACTTAAGTGCCTAAAAGAGTTTAAAACTTTAGGTAACGACTCGAGTACTACTGGCCCTAACAATTTGTTAAACCTGAAACTATTGGCCCAAAATGCTTAACTCAAGTTGTTCGGTAGTAGTCTCTAATCTCTTATAAGCTCAGAATTTCTCCCGTGTTTTGTCGATGTGGGATTCGCCTAAGGGTGTCACACACACATACCCCTCTTTGGGGTGTCATATACACCCCAATCTTTGGGACTCAGCGAGAATTCTTCATTCGGGGTGTCACATACACCCCTCCTTTGGGACTCAGCGTCCTCGCTGAAGTTTACCCCACCACCGTTCAAGGTTGCACGCGGAGTGGCTCTGATATCATTTGTAACGACTTGAGTACTACTGGCCCTAACAACTTGTTGAGCCTGAACCACTAACATAAAATGCTTAAGCCCAAGTTGTTCGGTAGTAGCCTCTAGTCTCTTATAAGCTCGAGATCTCTCATGTATTTGTCGATATGGGATTTGCCTAAGGGTGTCACACACACACATACCTCTTTGGGGTGTCATATACACCCCCTCTTTGGACTCAGCGAGAATTCTCCCTTCGGGGTGTCACACTTTATTCATCGATCTCAACATAGCTGTCAAAAATACTTGTCAACCAATTGCTAAATGAATGACTTGCTGGCTCTCTAAGATAGTTTGGATAATTATAGGTTCCCAAAGAGTTAGAGAACAAGGGGAACATATACATCGCAAGGACAGGTCCGCCATAAGTTTTTGAAGCATACTTGAAGCAGTTCCAAAAGGATTTCTATAATTTCTTAAGCTTGCGGTCCAAGAAGTTATTCCTGGTGGATATAAGGTTTTTACATTTTTGGGTAGGAGTCTTGCTAACCCAACTGGTAGAGATTGTTGTTGCTCTGGGAATAACTTACAAAATCACTTCTTCACTTCTTGACTTCATATCTAAGGTTTGAACTCCAAGTCAAATTCTTTTACTAATCCAATAAATTAATATTTTTTTTCACGGGAAATTTTAATATAGGTTTTGTGTTATAGGGACTAATTCAAGAAAAGGACGTGGATTCCTTCAACTGCCTTTCTACACACCCTAAAAGGATGAAGTGAAGGAATTCATGGAAAAGGGTCCTTCAGTATCGAAATGCTGGAAGTTGTAGAGTGCAATTGGATGCAGTGACAAGGATGATGAGTTTGACAAGTATAGCTGTGGTAAAAATGTAGCAATTGTTTCAGAGCAGTATACGAGTTTTTTTATCTGCTCATTTCAGAGACTTTGCCATTTATGATCTTTCATCATGTTTGCAAAGTATGCGGGGACAATCACTATAAGAATATTGAAATTTTTGAAAAAATACATTTTGGTTAGTTTACTGAAATAAATTAGCGAAGCAAATTTGTATCGAAAAATTACCGGCTCAATTATTGATACAAATTTGCATTAGAAACATATTAATGCAAGTTTGGGTCAAAAAAATTACCAACCTAATTACTAACACAAATTTATGTTAAAAAAAATTAACGACGCATATAATTGCGTCAGTAAACTTTTTAAAAATAAAAAATTTAAAATTAAAATTTACCAATATAAAAATTGCATCGGTAATGTTTTAAAAAAAAAATGCATAAAATAAGAAATTACTGATACAAATATTATATCAATAATTTTTTAAAAAATAAAATATATAAAATAAGAAATTACTGATGTAAGGTAATGTGTCATTCATTTTTTAAAATAAAATTTAAAATTACTGATAGATAAGTTGCGTGGATAACCTTTTTTTATTAATTTAATTTATTTTCGTTGTAGTGCAACTTTCTTTTTTTTTTTTTTTACAGCGTGGTAAATCACCTTTTTTCTTTCTCCTTCTCCGCGCACAGTTTTTAACAGCACCTTTTCTCCCTCTGTCTCTCTTCTTTATTTTCCTTTTCTCCACGTACGGTTGCTCCTCACATTTTTTGTATTTAACCCTTTCTCCTCCCTCTCTTTACTGCTCTTTTCTCTTCTTTTTGACTTTTTCAACTCTTTCTTTCTCTTCCCCGAAACATCTCTGTAGATCTTCTCTTTCTCTTTTCTTTTTATTTTTAACTTTTCTACACCCACTCTCTGCCACTCTCTTTCTATTCCTCTATTTATCTTTCTCGTACAAAATCTCTGTTCTCTTTCTTCTTGTTCCTCGTTCCTTCTACATGTTTGCAGCAGGTTTTCTTTCTTATGAATGGCAGCAGCTTTCTTTTATTTTTTAATTTTTTTGGTCTCGCTTCAGTCGGGTTGGAGCCTCCTCTCCTCCTCATCTTCTTTTTCCCCTCAGTTTCTTCTTTCTTTCTATTCTTTGGTTTTAGCCAAGTATCTTAATCGGCTGAACCTTTCTTCTTTGTCTATTGGTGGAATCACAGCTGGATGTACAACGACGGCTGTATCTACAGCGCGAGCAGCTTCTTTTTCAGCTGTCATTGAACAGCGGTAACTCCTTCCTCCTCTCTGTTCTTTGTTGGCCAGAGAGAAGAGGGCCCTCTTGTTTATACGTCAGCTAAACCCAATCGTATCTAGATCTTGGTGCGAGTTTTGCTTTTTGTCCTCTACATTTTTCTCTCCTAAGTTACTGTTGCTGATTGAGTCTGCTCCACCTCAAGCTCTTCACCTTTGAAATGGTGGCGACTTTTGCTTTCAAAATTATAGGTGGGTGGTGGGAGTTTCTTCGCTAGATGATTAAGTGGTGGATACTCAGAAACTTCAATTTTTTCTGGTTCGCACTTAGCAGAATTTTGTCATAGTCTTTCATATTTTATAATTTACTTTGTACTTTTTTTCTCATAATTTCACTATAGAGTCAACAATTTTCATATTCATTTTTTTTTTATTTTATTTTTCACATGCATCTTATTTCACGAAGCATTTCTCAACTCTTCATCCCATTATTTGTCTAATAATTAAGATATAATTACTAAAAAATACATAAAAGTGAATAATTAAATTCATAATTGTTGATTTTTATTAATTGTCTAAAAAAAAAAAATATAAATAAATTAAAAAATCATTGCTTTCGTAGGATTAAATATATTAATTAATTGAAAATTTTAAATAAATAAATAATTATTTAATTATTAAAGTAATATACTTATTGCGTCAATAAGAATTAAAATATTAATTAATTTAAAATTGTAAATAATTAATTAATTTTTAAATTATTAAAATAATATAATTACTGATGCACTTTAATTACATTGGTAAGAACTAAAAAAATTAATTAATTTAAAATTTGAAACAAATAATTAATTAAAATAATATACTTACTTACACACAAATTACATGGGTAAGAATTTAAAAAATTAATTAATATAAAATTTTAAATAAATATTAATTATTAAATCTTTTAGCGACGATTGGATTTTTGACGCAATTTGCAATGAAAATTGTGTCACTAAAGAAAATAAATATAAAAAAAATATAAAAATATTATTTAATATATAGTTTTATTGATACTTTTACGTCGATAATTCATTATTGTGTCAAAAAAACTGTCAATAACAATAAAAACTGTCAATAACAATAAAAAATTCAAATTTTGTGGTCGGTCTTTCTGACGTATTTGCATAAGAAATTGTGTTGAAAACTTTATTTTTGTTGCTATTTCTCATTTTCCAATATAAATTGCGTTGAAAAATTATCGACACTTTCATTTTGTGTCGAAAATTACTTATTGACGCATTGTTTTGCGTCATTTAATGCATCGAAAATTCTTTTTTCAACAATTTTTTGCCTTTTCCAATATTTTTTGTGCGTCAATAAGCTCCTTGTTTATGGTAGTGTATTTCACGGAAGAAAACAAAATTTACCAGCCTTGTTATTTACTTGTTCAAGAAGTGACTTTTAGTTGGTGCAGAAGGGACAAATGGTTAAGTATGAGTACAACACTGTATTAGCGTATCAATAAATACGATATGGACATAGTACAAGAGAACTCTTGTTATAAGCAATATCTCATTTGCTCCCTGTTATATTTACATCAATTTTAAATTTAAGTTAATAAATATTCTTATTAACTCTTTCCATCCCATTTATTCTCCTAACACATTTCTATTTTATAATTTATTTACCATCTTTAATAATTTGTAAACTTGCATAAGGGGAGGGGGGGCAATGAAATAAAAATCGAATTTCAGATTAGAAATATTAAATTATATTAGCAAACAAGTCCAAGAACATTGCCCGTGCATGGTGCCAAACGCAAATGACGTACTCTACGTTATTTTTTCCTAGACGTGTGTGAAAAGTGGATGACAATTGAGGCAAAGAGAATGAAAATAATTCTAGCAACGATGTCGTTTTCATTTTTCTAACGCTTCGTTTATTGGGTGATTCGGCCCTCTATTTACCATACGCTGATGTGTCAAGTATCTGTTAAGAACTGGAAACGACCTTGACCCCTTTCCATCCATTTCAATGAAGAGAAGATTAAAAAGCCGACGGGGGAAGCACTAGGATCCAACGATTCCTACTGTAGAAAAGGTTTATTATGGGTTTAGTCCCTGAACTTGTCCTGGATGTGCAATGTGATCCTCGGCTCCTAATTTGTCCAATCAAGTGCCTTATGTTATTACTGTTACTCCTTTTAATTCATTTACCCCGTTAAAAGGCATACGTTAAGTAGGTGATATGGCATCCATGTAGCAGTCAGCAGGCAACGTGCCACCCAAATGAACAAGAACGTTTCTTATTGTTTGAAACTAATTCTTGTGGACATGAAAAATAAAAATAAAAATAAAAATAAAAATAAACAATTTAAATTTTCCTCAATTTTTTAGGAAGAGTAAAAATTATTAAAACAAAAATTTTAAAAAAAAATACCTGCGAGCTCAAGGCATGAGGTGAAAGATTGTCAACTTGCGTAGTGTAATAGAAGATTCGATTTGGATCTTTCTTCCATTGTGCAAAGCTAGTTATCCATCATCATTTTCATTTTTTTGGTTGGATTGTTGTGGAGTTGTAATTATTGCAATTATAAATATTACTTTTATCGGTAAAATAATTCGAGTAATTTCTTTTAAATTTTAGAAAATTGGTAATAGTAAATACAATACTTTGGTTGATTTAAGAAAGAAAATGTGAAATGAGGTTTTTTTTTATTATTTTTCAGCACCAATCAATCAATATTTTTGAAATTTCTTTTGATGTTTGGTTTGACAAAAAATAATGATCTCTTTTTTTTTAAAAAAATTGTGATAATATAATTTAACCATATTTTTTGAACTATATTTGAATTAGCATAATGACTCGTGTGATAAACTAGAACATTATATCTTGATGAATGATTATCTACATAAGATTAGTTATAGCTTAAAAAAAATACACAAGTCTTCAATAAAAATTTGTGCATCTGACATTTTTATTTATGCTTCTTGCATTTTTGTTTAACGAGTCCTTTGCTTACTAGGTTAAATATTTCTATTATTATTTTTTGGATAGACTAAATCAGAGTTAGTGATTTTTTTTTAAATGACTTCAGATTTTTTAGGAGGTTAACATTAGTGAGTTATATCTATATATTTGATGTAATTTTTTTATGGGTCATCCATGTGGCTGATTAGTCACCCACTTAACAGTCAAATGGGCCTTTTAAACACTATGTTTGGTATCCCACTTTGAGTGGAGAGGAAAGGAAAATGACTGAGGAAGTACTCCATATGTTGTTATATCCATTTTTGGGAAAGAAAAGAAAGGATTAGGAAGGAAAACTAGATGTGAAGTTCGCACGTTTTTCATCCATCCATTGATGGGCAGATTGGGAGGGAAAGGAGTGAGCAAGGCAATGACCCTGCAACGGTCTATCATGTTCAACAGTAGCCTTCTCCTACTTACTCCAACGGCTACCGACTGGAAGCTCACGTGGGAAGCTCATGCCATGACAATCCCTTGACTGAAATCTTGTACCCCCACCTTGCTGCAACAATCCCTCAAAAGTCCCTTGATAGTCAATAATTACTACTTAACCAACCAAAATTCTCAAACCTTGACTGGATGATCAGGTCGAGGGTTGCCTGGCGACAGTGGCTTCAGCTATTTTGGCGATGACAACATCAGCTATTCCAGCCACAGCATCTTCAACTATTCCAATTATCAGGCTGAGGGCCACCTCATGTTCATGGCAAACGATTTAGGATGAAGGAGATGAATAGTAAAGTTTGCACAATGACCCTCAAAATTTATTCTCTCTTTCAATCTACCCGCTGTTATTCTCAAATTTCGTATTAGCTCCTAAACTTTGAATTTCTTTACCAAAACCGTAGTTAAAAATAATAAAATTTAATTCTATTTAATTAAGTCTCCACAACATTTATTTATAAGCATTTTCATTCTTATCCTTGATCTATTCATTTTTTGTTTGGATAAAACCAAATAAAAAAATAGGTATCCTTTATTTTCCATTGAATGATATCAAAAAAAAGAAAGAAAGAAAAAAGTAGGTCTTCTCCATTTTATTCTTTTCTTTTCTTCTTGTTGTATCCCTCTTTTTCTATTGCCCTCCGTAATACCAAACACAGCATAGCCGACTAGATGATATGGTTGACCAAAAGAAAGGGAAAAAAAAAAAAAAAAAGGTAATGTTCGGGGCCCGATTAGACGAATAAGGAGTTGAGGAACGACATTGCACATTCGAGACAAGTTTAGGCGTTAAACCCATACTTAACCGTAAATATAAAGACAGGAAGACAAAGGGTTGAACACAAAGAAAAAAGATGGAAGTAGATAGAGTTCTTCATATGAATACAGGCACCGGAGATGCTAGCTATGCGAATAACTCAGTATATCAGGTCGGTCTGTTCGTCTCTCTCCATACGCGAACACAATTTGGGGATCAAAACGTTTGGTGTGTTTACAAATTTTTTTTCTTATGAATTTTTATTTATTAATGTTTGTATATCCCATCTCGAGGAGCATCCCTAAGAAAGCAATCCAGAATTGCTTCCAATTGCTTTACTTCACCATTCATGCGGCGACGATCGAGAATTTCCTTCGCAAGGACGCGCCGGATCAGATCCGATGGTTCCTCTCTACCCTGTTTCCTATTCCCCTGTTTCGACTCTTCAAGACAAAATTTTTATTTTTATTTTTTCTCTAGGCGATCTTCCCCATTGTCTATCAGAGAACCCATACACTCGAATCAAAGGAAAGAACAGTGAGAATTTCCTCCGCATGGATACGCTGGATCAGATCCGATGGTTCCTCTCTACCCTACTTCCTATTCCCCTGTTTCGACTTTTCAAGAAAAAAATTTTTTTTTTTTTTTTTCTCTAGGCGATCTTCCCCGTTCTCTGTCTTAGAACCCACACGCTCGAATCAAAGGAAATCCCTCTCTTGCGGTCTTTTTCCGTTTCTGTGTTTTGGATATTTCAAAATCCTTGAATTAAAGTTTTCTTTTTTATTTTATTTTATTTTTTTGAGCATATCAAAGCTCTGGGATTTTTTATATTATTATTATTATTTCTTTATATGAAGCTCTAGATTACCTACTCGATTGTGGAGAAAAACTCAAAGCAATTTTTGTAATTTATGGACTTGTTGATACAAGAATTACTTCTCAACTCTCTTTAAAAGTCTCTCTTGGAAAATAGAGAGATATTTTATATTTATTTTATTATAATATTGGAAGATAATATAATATTATTTGGTTCTGTTCAGATTTCTCATTTTTTTGGGTGTGTTCAAATGGGGGGCTTGGTTGACGGGTTAGAGTTAATTGGGTGACGCTCTTCACTCACTGAATGAAGCTGGACGGTTTACGTCACATCTCTCCTGTCCTACTCCTCATTCTATAACTGGACGAGTACGCGACGGACTCCAACCTCCAGGTGCCTGTGTTGTTCCGTTTCCACAGGCGGCGGGATGTTCAATCCTTGAGGGTCATCGCCTGTACCGGCGTTGATGTTTAGCTCTTTTTACATTTTGCTTATTTTCTTTTTATTTAATTCTTCTTATTTTATGGTTAACTTGCTTCCAATTGACTTATAAATTCACAATTTTTTTAGCCATGTATATCATAGTTTAGGCATCTAAACAAGTCAAGCACTTCCTCTTGCAGAAAATAGCGACACTTAAGGCATGGTCTATTCTGAAAGACACCCTCGAGAATGCATACAAGGATACCTTTCCCGAATGCTATAAGATAGCGGATCTGGGTTGCTCTTCAGGGCCGAATACATTCTTGGTAATCTCTAAAATTATCAACACAGTTCAAAGTTTGTCCCAGCAAAATCAAGGGCAAGAGTTTCAAATCTTTCTGAATGATCTTCCAAAGAATGACTTCAACACACTTTTCGACTCGTTGCCAGCATTCTACGACAAGATTAACGGGAGAATGACGGCAATTTAGGGCCTAATTGTTTCGTATCAGGGGTTCCAGGTTCTTTTTATGGCAGGCTTTTCCCAAGAAAGAGCCTACACTTGGTCCACTCTTCTTACAGTCTTCATTGGTTGTCTCAGGTTCGTCTTCTCACTAAACTCTAAATAGAAGGATTCTTCCATCCCAATTTATGGTCAGCCAAGGAAGCTGCCACTTGTCAAAACAAATTCTCTGCACTTACTATTATGTGCAGGATTAGGACCCACCCTCTTTGTATGGGACTGCACGGCCTCAATACTAATTATGATTATTCACAACCAAAATACTTCAGCAGTTGATTTTGGGCGTTTTCTGATTGTCATTGCGGCTTTTGAGTATGATTGTCAAAAATAATTTATCTTCTGTATATTCTTTTAGGTCGGTAATTGGTTACTTGGGAAAATGACAAGTCAAAGAATAACAGATATATTTACATCAATATGATGCATTTAACAAATGATCCAATCATTAAGAGAATCAACGGCGCTAATCACAATCATGTTTGATAATAAAAATTAACATCCAATTATGATAGGTACCGGAAAAGCTGGAGAATAAGGGCAACATATACATAGCATGGACGAGTCCCCCAGAAGTGTTCAAAGCATACTTGAAGCAATTTCAAATTGATTTCTTAATTTTCTCAGCTCACGCTCGGAGGAAATTGTAGCGGGTGGGCATATGATTCTTACAATTTTAGGCCGAAGCATTGTAGATCTGTCCAGGAAAGAGAAGTCTTGCTTTTGGGAATTGCTCGCAAAATCGCTTCTTCAGCTGGTGCCTAAGGTTTAAACTTTAATACATCTCTCTTAAAACCCAAAAAATTTACGTTTGCTATGCTTTACCCTTTCTTTGTTCAAGTGATTAGCGAGTTTCAATCCTGGGTTTTGTATTTCAGGGGCTTGTTAAAGAAGAAGATGTGGACTCGTTTAATCTGCCTTTCTACAGCCCCTATGAGGATGAAGTGAAGGCAATAATTGAAAAGGAGGGATCCTTCAATCTTGAAAGGCTTGAAGTTTTCGAAAACAATTGGGACGCCAAAGACAAAGACGACCCAAACTCCGCATTTAACAGGCATAGGATTGGTGCGAAGACTGCAAACAGCTTAAGAGCTGCTACAGAATCTATTCTGGGCAGTCATTTCGGAGCTTCTATACTTGATGAAGTATTTGCAAATTTCGCAAAGCTTGTCGATGACGATCCGAACGCTGAGAATTCACAGTATCTCAACATCGTTATTTCCTTGTCGAAGAAGTAACTCCCTTTTGGCAAAGGATGAATTCACAAGTACTTCAAAGCATTTGTATTGTTAGTCGGTGTTTATATGTTTAATGGCTTTCGGCATGGTGAATTCAAAATAATTTTATATTACCTTATTCCACGTAAAGCTGTAATAAAGAACCCAGTCCTGTCCGACTAGATTCCAATCTAAACCCATATTGTGAATTCAAATAATCGATTTATGTGAGATCCAATTCCAAACCAATTTGGTTTGAGTCATATCTCAAGTCTGAAGTCTGGATCCAGATGTGTATTTGGAAGCTAAAATAAAAAGATCAAACACGAAGTGATGCAAATAATCATCCAATTTTTCTGCTATCTTCCAACTTCTCCGGCAAACTTTTCTGTTATCTACCACCTTACTCCTCTGGCAGTCTTGCAGCCACCCCTCTCCTCTGGCAGTCTTGCGGCCACCCCTCCACCGGCAGCATCCTAAATATCGGAGGGAAATTTTGTCACGCACTAAGCTCCCATCATCTCCATTTGAAGAAGAAACTAGAGATCCATAAATAGTTTCGATTTTTGAACAGTAAGTTCCTACATGTGGATGGCGAATCAAAATGCAATACTGGCCTAGTTGTGCTATTTGTTCATTTATATGCAAGATTCATAAAAAGATGGTGGACCTAAGTATCATTGATTCAGGTTAAAAGTGCTCAACAGAGTGAATCAAATTGTTTATACCGATTAAATTATGATTTAGTTTAATTTAATTTGATTCAATTTAAAAAAAATTATTTATATAGTTTGGTTTAATATTTAACATTCAAATAAATTGTATAAATCAAACTAAATTATATAGTTTATATATATATAGTATGTGTAAAATTAAAAATTTTATCTTTATATATATATAGTTTATCTTTATTATTTGATTGCATACTTCTTATTTATATTATATTTTATATTTAACTTTGAAATAGATTATTTTTTTAGAAAATGATTTCTATTACTATGAGTCAAACTTAATTATACTATACAAATTTGTTTGCTTAATTATGTATAGTTAATATAATTAGTTGATAGATAAATAATTTGCAAAATTAAATAGGTTGAAAAAATATTTTTGGATATTTGGATCTTTAGGAAAAATTTATTGAAATTTTTATATAAATGATAAATCTAATTCATTTTATTTTACAAATATAAACTGTAGTTCAAAATTGAACTAAATTGTAAATTATAGTTTACTTTAGATTCTAAAATTTTCAAGCTGTAAAATATAGTTTAATGTTAAAAGTATAAAAACTCCTATGTTTTCTTTAGATTATACAAAGCTTTCTTGTGATAAAAAAATTGTACAAAACTCTCTTATATTTTACAATTTTCTAAACATTTCTTATATTTTTTTTCTATAACTAACAATGTTGAATTATAATAATAAGACTAAAGACTTAATTAAAAATAAAAAAAGATAGAAATTAATATATAAAAACAAAAAAAAATTGGGACCAAAATAAATAGAGTGAATTAAAATTTATTCAATTTTTTATTTTATAAAGATTTGTAGAATTTTTAGTTTTTATTTTGATTATTTTGATGAAACAAATAATTATTATCAAAAATATTATTTAAAAATTTTTAAAAATAAATTATGTTTAACAAAAAGAAAGAAAGGAAGAAAGATAACAATAATAATTAGAGACATTTAACTTTTGCTATTAAAGAATTGAATTTATTGTAGAGGGAATGAATTATATGATAAAGGATAATATTTTTAATCAAATAAATTATTTTTAACTCCTAACTAAATCATTAAAGCAAAATTTATAACTATTTGCACAATAACAAATGGGGGAACAATATATGTTGTCTTAGTTTTTATATTATGAGAAGGTTTTGTGTAAAGTAAATAAAACATGTGGAAGGATTGTGCCTTTTCACCAAAAGTAAATTTTAACAAAAATAAACTTTAACGGGGTTTATGCGAAAAATAATAAAATATAATGTATTTTGGTTTAATTTTTATATCTGGAGAAATTTTGTGTAAATTAATTAAAATATAAGAAAATATTATATTTTTTTCTAGTGTAATTTAATTTGAATTTGATTAACAAATCAAACCTAATCAAACAAAGAACACCCCTAATTCTGATTTGCCAAATATGAAAAAATAATTGAATTTAGAGGGTTCATTTTTCAGTTGTAAAGAGAGAACATATGGACAAAACTTGGGGCTTTCATATTCTTTCCCTCTCACCTCATCTCTCATCTCCACTTGTGAAGGTTTATCCGACCCAAAAATAAATAAATAAATAAATAAAATAAGAGTTTGCAAGAGGTATTTGCAGCCACGTCCCATCGAAGGTCATATTCTCTCCCTTTCGCCTCTTCTCCACTTGCGAAGGTTACAAAACTGGGCTACCCCATTGCCTCTGATGGCAATGGCCAATTCAGATTTAGAGGCGATGACTCGTACCCCTCTTTAACAGTTCCAACCTTATCCCTTGAAATCCTGGTGTTCTTAGCTTTTGAATTCTCAACCTGGTGATTGCCGCTGATTACTGGAAGTGTTTTGTCAATTTTTGTTGCTGAAACTGTAAATTTACCTATAACACATGTATAGTATGAAAACTTTCCATGTACGAATGTGTCACGAAAGGAAGGGGATTACAGATTGTGAAAAGTGGGTCTGAAGTTTGAATTGACCGTATTACAGCCACTCACCCTTCTTAATTTGGTTAACGGCTGTTGTTTTCTTCTTTTGGGCAATGATAGAAAAGGACTACCGAAAATCAGGAATAAGCAGGGAATCCAACAGTTGATCTTGGGGGCCATCCGGTCTGCCATCTACCAAAATCGACAGAGCAGCCAGATCACGACAACTGATCAGCGATCACAAGCACAATATCCGGATAAGAAGAAAGCATTGACACTAGTTTGGCCTTACAATACATTCCTGTCTTGAGGATGATCTTTCTGGTTTACTTGTAGCCCGTATAACAAATGATTTGTACGGCTGAAAATTCTTCCAATTTGTTTTAGATTTTTTGATACATTATAAATATAAATATGAAAGAAAGAAAAAGGGTTACATGTAAAGCCCACAAGTAAAACACTTAAGATTAACTTGATAAATCTTTTATTATTTGAATAGTCGAAGCAATTTTGTTCGAAAAATAAAATTAAAATTTGTATAAAATTGATAAATTTATCTTCCCCTCAACTCTTTCGTCATATATATAGAATATAAAATAAGATAATATAATTTTATTTTATCAAACGTACCCAACATAGGCTATGTACGTACCCACATGCAAGGAGGGCAAAAGCAAAAATGATATAAGAGAAAAGTTAAAGCCTTACTTTTATAGAGGGTGGGGGCTCTTTTATGACAGTGCCGTCAGACCTTCCGTGCGTGACACATGTATCGCACTAATTCCGTTCTTTATTTTTTTATAACTTCTTGCTAGACATCAATAAAAATGAGATATAAATATTTTATATTTTATTTTTATTTTATTTAAAAAAGTCTAATAAATTTAACTGTGATTAAGAAAAGAAGTGGGATTTGAAAATTTTCGAATTTTAAAAATTTCAGAAAACAGAATCAATTTTAAAATCTCTCCCTCATTCCCCTCTCTCGGGTCCCTCTCCTTTCTCTCTCTATTATATCTCTCTCGTCGGCTCCTTTTGGCGGGGGCTGCGTGTGCGACTGGAGTGGATGATCCGTCTCTTTTGTTTGCTAGCTAGATCTAGTTGCAAAATGTCCCTTAGCAGTGGACGTGACGAAGCCATAGCAGTGGAACGTGACAAAGCCAACTGGGTGCTGCGTACAAGGACAAAAGATCATTTTGACTTTGTACGAAAATCTCGCAAAACTTTACCATCTCGACACTGACGTCATCGAGATCCAACAGCAAGGGCGCTCTACAACTTCTCATTGGCTGTGGGGTTGGGTTGCTTGCCATTTGAGTACTCCGGCCAGGTTGGCCCCGAGACGGACCAAGGCTGGTAGAAGGGGATAACTGGGATTGGTGGCGAGTTGGGGAACTAGGGGGGCTGAAGTTGGCGACTGCGGTGGAGAGAAAATGAAGTCGTCTATCTCCCGCCTCTCCCCCTCTCGCTAACCAGACAATTTTTAGGGGGAAGAGCAAGTGAAAGATAGCGACAGCCCACCATTTATGACGTTAAAATAATCAAAAGGAAGTTAGAGTAGGTTTGTGTTTTATTTTTTAATTTTCTTGAAAGTAAAAAGCATAGAGTGGTTGTGGGTTTCTTTTATTGTTTGACACCGTGCTCAATGTTTGGTTAAGGACTTCAGATGGTCGGACATGGTTGGCACGGTGCCATCTGGACAAACCCACGCGAAGATGCACGCTAAAATTTACCCCACTCGTGCGAGACAACGGGTTAAGGGCAGGTGATGTTTGTGTATTTGAGCTCGTTAATGGCGTTGGACTCGACATCACTTTGAATGTCACAACATGCAGAAATGAAAACCTTACCAGAAAATTTCCAAGTGACGTATTTTGTATATAGGCATGGTGTTTTTGTAAGTCAAACGCTTGAATCAAGCTGTATGTCAATGAATAGCAACAGGTATAAAACACTTCTCAATGGCAGATTTTCATTGGTTATTTATTTTTATTTTAATTTATATTTTTGGCCTCTTTTAGCCTTCTTAATAATGATAGGTTTAATCAAATTAACTGAATGGAAGTAAATTATAATTCAATTTAATTTTTGGTATATTGGATTTTAAAAATAGAGTTTTTGACACTTTGCACCTTGACATTATAACCTTAGTATTTGTAATTAAGATACAAAATGTTAAAAATTCTATTTTTTCTGTGTAACGTGCCAAAAACTCATTCAATTTTGGGTAATTAGGTTTTAATAAATAAAATTTTGGAATTAGACATTGATTTTAAGTGTCACATGATGTCAAGAAAAGGAAAAATATATATTTAGTTATATGAATTATTAAATTCAAAGAAAAGTTAGTTTTATGCGTGGAAGATGTTCAGATCTAAA